ATACAGCCATAACAATTTATGTAAAAAAAACAGATGTTTAAAATATCACAAGTGGCCAGTGTAGTGTTCTCGTTTAGCAGCTGTAGCCAGTCAGCAGCCTGTCCATGTTGTCCACCCTCACACACACACACACACACACATATAGACAAACACACACACACACACACACACACACACACACACACACACACTAACAGCAGGCCATGTAGGCGGAGAACAGAGTGAAGGACACAGCACCTCCACACTTTTACTCCCTTGCAGGTTCACCCAACACCGCATGTGTAATATAAATGTGTAGGGGGTGAACAGTGTGAAGACACTGAAAATGTGTTATTTTGTATGCTCTTCACAGAAAATGAGCAAAGGCCAAGGAATCTGAGGTTGAAATAATAATAAATCGCTTAATTTTTAATTTTGGTAAACATTAAACATGGGTCCCACAGAGCTGAACACCACACAAGGATAAATCAAAAGTATAAAAATAGGAAACACAGAAATATTCTCAGCCTTTTGTGCCTTTTTCTTAGTACTATACACATGGGATAAGCTTACTGGACATGCAGTACTGTGCAGAAGTTTCTGAGAAAATGAGACATAAAGCCATTTATCTTGGTCGTAAACATTTATTTGTTTAAAAACCCTTTAACATCATAATATATAAAAATAAACAAAAAGCAATATGTTGTGATTTGATGTACATGAGTGTGTTAGCATAACCATGTATAAAAACTCTCCATGATGAAGTGCAACATTTACAGATACCATCTAATACCTAGTTTATCTAATCAATCCTTCATTAAATTAAATCCGGTGTGCTTAAATGGATATGTAGCTGACCACAGAGATAATCTGATCTCATGATTTTAACAGTTCTTTCTAAATAAAGTACTGAAAGGACTGTTGTTTTTGTCCTTGTAATTTCTAATTGATTCAGATGTGTATGCGTTTTAGAGAATAACATGGAAGTGATGACTAATGAGAATTTTTCTAGAAAATAATGAACAAAAGGTCCATTCACAGAGTCTTTGCATGATATCTGTAGCCTGCTCATATGTGGCTAATCTATCTGGAAGATAATGTAAATGTGCTTGGAGGATGTCACTCAGTCATTTATAAAGCCCTCCTGCAATGGGCTGTGGAGCAGTAGAACTGTGTTCTCTGGAGTGATAGAGCTCCATTCATAACCTCCGGGATGAGTTGTAGTGATCCAGAACTGACCATCCAACATCAGTACCTGACCTCACTAATGCTCCTGGGCTGAATGCAGTCAAACCCACACAGCAGTGTTCTAACGTGTGTAAAGCCTTCCCAGAAGAGTAGAGGCTGTTACTGCAGCAAAGGAGGACAAACTCCCTATCAATAGCCTTGATTTCAGAAGAAACCTTGAATGAGCAGATGTCCACAAACTTTTGGACATATTTTGTATCACACTTGCAATCATGGCTCCACTTGAAGTGCTATAATCATTTAGCTGGAAGTGGGATGACGCCAGTGTCTTGCACTCGTAGTAACAGGACGCGTGATGTGCTTCTGCAGAAACAACATATGAGATCATCCTTATGTAAGCCCTCTGTGACTCATCCAGTAGATTAAGTTTAATGCGTAGGCTCCACCAACTAGTTCATAGAGCAAGAACACCTGCAGTGAGGACTCTTCCTACTTTTGACCATATGCTGAAAGGGTTCCTAGCTCAGTGGCCGGTTGCACCAGCTGTGCCTAAGTTCAAACAAAGGCTAGTTGTTACGTAAGTGTTTACTAAGTTCAGGTTTATGTATTACTAAGTCAGAATTAGTTGCACCACACAAACTAGTTTTAACATTAAGCTTAGTAGTTGCTAAATATTTACACACCCCTGAGCAGATGTAAGCGTTGGGGAAATGATCAGAAAGCACAAGATCAAAAACATGACTTTTTTATTGATTAACTGAGCTAAAAATTATAATCGCTGTACGCTGTGGTTTTACTTACCAGAGGGTGGGAACAAGTCACTAAGATGCAAGTAAGTCCCGAGTCTCGATTCAAGTCCCAAGTCAGTGAAGGCGAGTCCCAAGTCGAGTCCCAAGTCAGTAGTTCTAATCTTCGAGGCCTAAACAAGTCAGTATGCACTCTTCAGCTAAGTTAAAGCCAAAACACTGAATAATAGTAACAATACTATACGCTTTTAATGACAGCATGTTAGCAGTGAATGGCTGTATATTAATTTTTAAATTTTTTTTTACCTTTCCAGCTAAAATACAAAATTCATGGTATACAGATATGGTAGACATGCTGGTATACACAAAGAATAGTACAGTTAGACCTGAAAAGATAATTGTAGATAATTCGTTTTTTTTTTGGTTTAACTTGTACACATCATTCTCTTCTTTGCTGGATAGTTTTTCCATTGAAAAAGTCAGAGCAGCTGCTGTCACGTTTCCATGGCAGCGGGTTTACTGATTGGTTCTAAGCATACTATTATCATGTTAAAGCAATATACACATTAGTTAGTTGTTTCTAGTTAAGACTCGTGGATATGTGGTGCAACAAAATTTAGTAAAAGGATAGTTTGAAACTAGTGTAACTAAGGACTTCAGTATAAACTTACACAAACCAGGTGCAACCCAGTCGAGGACATCAAATCCCTTCTCCATTGCTAGCTAGAACGCCACAGTTAACCTCAGTCTGCTTCAAAGTGATTCATTTATGTTCATGTTTAACTCCATCCACTGTTTCATCAGTGTAATGTTCTGCTGGGTCACAGTGAATGTAGACGGCTCGGTTGGGTGTTGCAGGCTGTGGCTGCAGCATGAGTTCTCAGCCTGTCAGTTTGAATCTCGTTGCATCTGCTCGCTGTGTCCTCATGGCGACTGTGGTGGATATAATCCACTCTGACTCGCTGTCCTTTAGACACAGCGGCACAGCAACACCAGCAGACTGCTCAGGCTTCCTGTCAGAAGTCATTATAACGCTCTCATATTGGGCCATATTCGGCCCTACTGTCTGTTCCTGATGCATATCACTCTGATTATTACAACATAGCATGGTAAAGTGAAGCTATCCATGTTATGCTATTACAAATGGAGTGGCTTTGTCACATGATTCAGTGCTCCATTATATATTAATGTAAAAGTACTGTACTTTCATACATACTATTAAAGTATACGCTGTAAAAAATTGGGTTGTTTACTTAAAAACGTTTGAGCTAATTGAACTATGAGTAGAACAAGAATCTGCGTTTTATTCCCCGTCAACTTATTATTTGAAGTTCAAATTTAAGACAGCCTGAACACTTAAGTAAAAATCTAAAATTTTTAGTGTACTTTGTAATAGTAGTAGTGGACAGTGTACCAGTTCCTCCAGAATTGAAACTGAAATTGAAATTCCTTCTCCCATGTGATTTTTGTCCAAACCGTTGTACCAATGTAAAGAAAATATTTGACTCTGTCAAAAGACGACATGAGGTTCTCAAGCGTCATCTTCTCACATGTGAATGTTAAAAGCGGACGCAGAAAAGGTTGATGGTGTACAAGCATTTATTCCATGCTGCTGAAGTTGCATCTCAGTACTTAGCCTAGCAACTTGACACTTGAGTGGTTTTAACATAATAGCTTGCTTTTAGATACTAATCTTCAGTGAAGTGTCTCAATTACAAATAGCTAAGAGCTCTTAGTAGCTCTGATTGGTATCGGCATTGGCTGATATTGAAGATATTGTATCAGAAAGTGGTATTTAGTCAAGTGTAATATGCATTTCACAATAGCCATAAAATGGCATTTCTGCCTGTTTAGGAGGTCCCACAGTTGAACTATACATTTTTTTCATCAGTAACATTGATGGAATATATGTCAGTGGAAATTTGTATGATTTCTAAAACTAGAAGTGAACTTGATTTTTGTCTGAGAAACAAGTCAACAGTTGGTTGTAGTAATGCCATGCATTTTATCTCAGCGTGGTGGTCTTTGTGAGTCGGTGTAGTGGCCAAGAGGTGGACAGTTGTGGCCATTGCTGCCCTAGCATGAAGCATGGCCACTCTTCTGGCCACTCCAGTTATGGAAAGTGAAAGAGTCTGCCGTCTTCAGTCAGCCATCAGTAAAGCATCAATTACACTTTATGGTGAAAATCTGACAGTGATGCATTTCATTTACGGGATTCAAACAAATTTTTTTTTTTTCATGGTTGACTAAACTGTGTTACGCCAATCCAATTTTGTCTTTCTGTTTACTTTTGGAGCTAATTGTATTGATGTAATATTATATTATATGGAAATGATGGACAGATTAAGTTATGCACAGAGAAAAGCCAATATATTTTTATGTTATTTAATACAGTAATGCTATTTTATATAGTTTGTTTCCTAGCAGTGTGCCAGCCAAAAAAAAATACTTACCTGGCCACCTCATTCTAAAAGTTCTAGCTATGCCCCTGAGGAGGTGTCAGTTGATTTCACAGCAGGGGGTTCTCATCCCTTCCCTTTCACCCCTTGTTGCTTGCTAGCAGCTCAACACAGTGTCACACCTCACACACAGAGAGACAACAGTGTCCTAGTTCATCTGATAACAGAGTTACTGAAAAAAAAAAAGTTTCATCATATTAAAAAATATCAATTTCCGTGCCGCTAATGGCCACTAGGAAGTCTTGTGTACTTTAAAGGGAACATAAAACTTGTTATAAATGTTTGTATCCTCTGCTTCAAATCTTTTCCTGTCTTTTCATTTCTTTGTGCATTTGTGTCTTTGTGTTGTAGCCGTGTTGTGTGCAGATGTGGAGGAGCGGTTAATTAATTACCTCCTTTCTCCTGAACGCTACAACAAGCTGATACGACCGGCTGTGAACAAGAGCCAGCAGGTGACCATTGCCATCCAAGTGTCTCTCGCTCAGCTCATCAGTGTGGTAAGTTGCATACACAACTAACAAATGAGGTTCAGATCTACTACACAGTGAGCTTACTTTTGTAGGCTGTTGAAAATGTTCAGAACGCCGTCTGTGCTGGCACATAACAGACAAATATTTGCTTTCAGAATGAGAGGGAGCAGATTATGACCACCAACTGCTGGCTCAATCAGGTAAACCTGCCAGTTTGTAAGTGGGCAGTGTATTAGATGTGATTGTATTCAGGTGTGTGTAGATGGCTTGAGTTTGGCATCTGTGTTTCAGGTGTGGAATGACTACCGATTGATGTGGGACCCAGAGGAGTACGAAGGGGTCAGAAAAGTCAGGCTTCCGTCTCAGCACATATGGCTGCCAGACATCGTTCTTTACAATAAGTGAGTAAGGGAAGTGGGTGCTATTTTAAAAGACGCAATAATGTTCTGAAATGCAGTTTTTCTATTGAACCTTTAAAAATCTAGAGTTGCTATTGACAATTTGCTGTATTGTACAAATGTAGTCATGTGATTACATAGATCATCAGGATAATTAGTTAAGTATTGAATTATATTTACAGACAATTTATATTTTGTACGAACAGGTTTGAGTCTGCACTCTTCTTTTTGTGTCCATGTCAAGAAATTACAAAAACATGTAAACAGTTGTCTTTCTGCAAAACATATTTGTGAAATACTGTCATCATTTTTAAATACGATGGCATACCTTTTTACCTTTATACCGCCCAAAAGTTGGGCCTACATCTGATGTTCCTAATCGAAAATTGAGACTGTGGTCCATCACACTGTCCCAGTCTTCAATCATGACTGTTAAACCAGTCACATACAGACACCCTACAGCTGTCATCCTGGAATGCAGGAGTGTCAGTGTTGTGTTCTGCTTGGACGTAAAGTGCCAGGTTAGTGGAACAGTGGACAAAAATGGACAAGAACTCAACAGACTGGTGTAATCCTTACCTAACAGGCGATTGGATGCATAACTAAGTATTGGAAAGAGACGGATCCATGCAACTACTTTTTTTGCCCAGGAAGCTTATGATCCAAAAGCCCTTAGCTGTATAGTGCAGAATGTCTTGATTGATGATAAAGATTGACAAAAAAAGAGATGTTCTTCCAGGTAAGGATGAAGGCCTATCTGAGCTAAAGATTGTTCAGTTGAGAATTTCCACTGTGAGTGTGACTCAGCACGGAAATAGATTTGATGATTATCTGGGACAACACCCCAGAGTGTTTGTGCCCAGATGCATTTCGAGAAATGGCTGAGAACGTCAAGTGAGATAACGCGGGGGCCGTGTGCAGTGGCAGTATGTTATTTGACCTTCCTGAAGGGGAGCCTTTTTTTGACACTCAGGGATTTCCACAGAGATTAGGGTTACATTAGTGAGATGGGATGAGCAGAAACACACTCTCACTGGGTTCCCACAAGGTCTTTAGTGTCTGTTTTATTCATTTTAGGGGTAGGTTGGGACAGAAATTCAAGAATGTTGGCAAGCCACCGGTCAAGCTGATATTTATTACGAAGGTTGCTGACAAATAACTTGCTAGTTAAGCTTACAGTAATTGATATATAGAAATGGCCTGTCACAATTAATACTTAATCACCTGATAAAAATGGTCTAACTACTCAATCTCTGTCAGATATGACACAGGACAGATAATCTTGTCAACATAGAAAAAACCCTCAGTCTGAAGGACAGAACTGAGGTGCTACATACAGTACGTTTTATCAGGTTTTACAGGAATGCGATCTGTAACTTATTAAAACATAAGAAAATATTGCTGTTGTCAGAACAAAACATTGTATCTCCAAAATGATAACTTTACAGGAGAAGAAAAAAAAAACCTTCTTTATATTTAATGTAAGTCAATGGAACCAGACTTTTTTCAAGTCATTTTGGACCATTTCTTTTGGTATATTCATCATGAAATTTACACACAATGTAAAGGACAACAGGTGTTTTCACATGATGTCAAAAACTGAAAAACAACAAACTAAGTTTTACAGGAATGTGATCTGTAACTTCTTAAAACTTTTGCTATATTAACTTAGTTAACAACTTAAGCTAAATTAGCAACTGCGCTAGCTAGCAAACTTCCTATCCAAAACTTGCTATCCAAACTACATGCTAGCCCTATCATATTTACCATATTTACACCATATTTATTAAGTGAACTGCATCATTCTGTCCATGAGACTGACAGTTTTTTTTTTTTTGATGAAAGACTTTATATTTAAAATCCCAGACTTATTACATACTATAGCTCATTATTCAGTAACCACAGGGATGTCAAACTGGACGAACTGCACTTATAGAAGTGTGTAATAAATAATAAGAGTTTAAAGCCATATCAAACCTGAGGCTGCTGCAAGCATTGCAGTAACACCTACATATGACCATAGCAAAGTCAGAGTCGTGAGTTATTTAAGGGCTAGTCCGAGTCGATTGGGGAGTCAGTCAACATATGACCTGGGTACGACTTGAGTCCTGGTCTCTGGTTGGGGAGTATTCCAATTTGCACATTCATAGAATCTAGATTTTGATGAGGATAAAAGTGTAAATGTGTTTCTGTACCTTTTTTTCTACTAATATTGTTTGTGGATCATTTAGTATACAGTCCAGAAAATTATTGTCTCCAGAACAAGTTTTGGTGACTTTAAGATCTTGTGGTAATTTCCACAATAAAGGTCTGAGAGGTTATATTGTCGGATGTCTGTTGTACTTTATCTTAAAACTGTGGTTCTGGCTTTCAGTGCTGATGGGACATACGAGGTGTCTTTCTACTGCAACGCTGTTGTGTCCAGCAATGGCGAGGTTTCATGGTTGCCTCCAGCAATCTATAAGAGTGCCTGTAAAATCGAGGTGCGGGACTTCCCTTTCGACCAGCAGAACTGTACGCTCAAGTTCCGCTCGTGGACTTACGACCACACCGAGATCGATCTGATCTTGCTGTCAGACTTTGCCAGTCGTGATGACTTTAAGCCTAGTGGCGAGTGGGACATCATATCCCTTCCAGGCCGAAAGAACGAAGACCCCAGCGATGCCACCTATGTGGACATCACATATGACTTCATCATTAGGCGTAAGCCGCTGTTCTACACCATCAACCTCATCATCCCTTGCGTTCTTATCACATCTTTGGCCATACTGGTCTTCTACCTGCCTTCCGACTGTGGTGAAAAGATGACGCTTTGTATCTCTGTCCTTCTGGCCCTCACCGTCTTCCTGCTGCTCATCTCCAAAATCGTGCCACCAACATCCCTGGCTGTTCCCCTTATTGGCAAGTACCTGATGTTCACAATGGTCCTGGTGACCTTCTCAATTGTCACAAGTGTTTGTGTCCTGAACGTTCACCACCGTTCTCCGAGCACACACACCATGCCCCCATGGGTCAAGCGCCTCTTCCTGCACCGCCTGCCTGCCTTCCTGTTCATGCGAAGGCCAGGGACGTCTAACATCCGGGAGAAGTTCCGGCGCAAGCACCAGCAACGGTCCTTTTCGGAGTTGCCTACTAAAGGAGAGCAGGATGCCTCTGACTCCACATTCTTCGTGAACGAGGACTCGGCCAAGCGTATGGGCTGGAGGACCAACGATCTGCCAGACAACGCGGAGCTCCGCAAGCGACTGGCGGTCAAGTGCTCAGTGGACATGGAGGAGGCTGTGGAGGGTGTGAGATACATCGCTGACAAGATGAAGAGTGAGGATGATGATGAAGGGGTGAGTCCTGAACTGTTTGTGGATTTGGTCGCATTGTGCTGTCTCTAGTCTTCCGTTAATAACTAGCTTTAGAAAAAAAGTAGAGTTGTCACTTAATGTCTGCATGTTTAATTATTCACTGAGACCCAAGCAGTCTGGCTTGGTGAAGATTATAGAGGACTGTGTTGCTGATCCCTCTTCCTGGAGATCTACTTTCCTGCATACCCAAATGTGACACATCTCCTTCTGCTAATCAAGGACTTCTGAAGGCAGTAATTAGATGGTTCCGAGTGGGGTTGATTAGTGTTGGAGTCTACAGGAAGGTAGATCTCCCAGAGCAGGGTTTGTGGCCACTGCCCTAAAGAGAATCAGAACTTTATGGGTAAAGACTATGCAAACTTTCCTGATTGAGGTCTCATCCACATGTGCATGGATATTTTTGAAAACACTGGATTGTCTCTGGTTTTTGGCCACATGTCCACACAAAAACAGCATTTTAAGCCCTCCAAAACATTTACAAGGTACAGATTTGTAAAACTTTGCATCAAACATGTCTTTATGAAACCACTGACCTCACAGCACAGTTTTGCATCTATAATCTGTGTAATTGGTAAAAATTTAGTCTTACCATTTGATTACCATCATGTAAAGGTATCAGAAATGTACTTTGCTCAATGCTTCTACATACGCCACTCAACACAGTGAACAGTGATTCGGATCAGGCCTTAGACATACACTGAAAAAAATTGTACTTTGAATTTACATGATCCAATGATGTTGCATCAACACTGTTCATGCTATAAGACGTAACCTGAAAGAGCAGTTGTTTAATGTAACTTTTCATTCATGAGAGAGTGTTTGGCATAAAGACGGGTGTCAAATTGAAGCAAAAAACACAAAGCAAGGTGTTGGGCCACCAACTGCTTCAGCATAGATTCTCAAGCCTTTAAATTGTCCAGAACTGTATTAGAGCCATAGAACGCTGATCTTTTAAAAGATATTTCGTCTCTTAGTCTTTTAATGATGGTAGTGGAGAATGGTGTCTAACACATCGTCTATAATCTCTCATAGGTGTTTTACTGGGTTGAGATCTGAGGACTGAAATGGGCACAGCCTATGATTTACATAATTTTCATACTTATCAAACCATAGTGACCCATTGTGCCCTGTAGATGGGGCATTCTCATCCTGGAAGCAAGTGCTCCTTTTGGTGGCTGGTAGTGTAGTGGTAGGTGAGGTGAGCCAGTACTTGAAAGGTTGCAAGTTCAAATCCTAGGACTGACAGGGTAAACTTGGTTGTGGCCTTGGGCAAGGCAATTCTCGTCCACCCCCCGCCCCCAACTCCCCACCCCTACACGGACCCGTCCATCTGAGGCAATCCAAAACATGCTGCCAAAATGATCCCATAACCTATAAGAGCCGCCGGTCTCCCTCACTATAGTGGTCAAGCATCCAGGCCTTTACCATTCTCATGGTCTATGCCACACATGCACTCTCCTACTTATGGAGAATACCGTGTTTCTGTTTTTCTTTACATTTCACACTAACGAATGAGCATCACAGTCATTGAATATACTTTCAAATATACTTTTCATCCACAATTTCAAACCCCTTTTACTGATGTCTTTCCCACAGATCTAAACGCAGATGTCACTTTAGTCACTATTATTATTGAAACACTCACCAGTTAAAGAGTCTTTGTGACTGACACCCCTGCAATCTGTGCCCCAATAATGAACCCTCTTTCAAATGTTCATGTTAGTCCATGGAAGGACGTTAATTGCCTAATTATATCACAGTAGAGCTGTGTGGAAGCATCTGCCCCTGTTATTGTTGTCCACTCAGTTATACAGGTTTTCCCTTTAATTTGTCACCCGTCTATGTTTGGATAATATAAATTCAAATCCATTTTTAGTGTTGTCATTTTTACATTTGCAACATGCTGGCAACTGTATAACTTTATAAACTATATTTTGCACTGTGCTCATGTTTGTGATGTTCTTCTTGAGGCATTTCACATCACAGTTTATAACGTATTTTTTTCAGTCTACACTGTAAGAAACAAATCTGTCAAAAAAAAAGGCAGGCAGCAAACCAAAGCTGTAAATTAACAGTAAAAGTATGATAAAAAATATTACAATGACGGAAATGCTGCCTCACTAGTCTTTCATGAGTATAACTACTTATTCTGACCTACAGTATCTTACCGTGGTAACAAAATTAACAACAATTCAAATAAAAGCAAATGTCCGTGAAATAAAGATGAATTTCCATGACATTTCTGTAAATTAACAACACATTAAAAACTCTGTAAATGTATGATTAACTTATACCGATCAGCCATAACATTTAAACCACCTCCTTGTTTCTACTCTCATTGTCCATTTTATCAGCTCCACTTACTATATAGGTGCACTTTGTAGTTCTACAATTACAGACTGTAGTCCAACTGTTTCTCTGCATACTTTGTTAGCCCCCTTTTCCCCTGTTCTTCAATTGTCAGGACCCCCATGGACCCTCACAGAGCAGGTAGTATTTAGGTGGTGGACCATTCTCAGCACTGCAGTGACACTGAGGTGTTGTATTAGTGTGTGTTGCACTGGTACGAGTGGATCAGACACAGCAGATAGTGGATAATAAGCTTTGAAACGAATAGCTGAATGATCTGCCTGTAGTTTACAAGGTTAAGCTCTTTACTTTCTCTCTCTTTTGCAGATAATTGAGGACTGGAAATATGTGGCCATGGTAATAGACCGGCTCTTCCTGTGGATCTTTGTGTTGGTGTGTGTTGCTGGAACTGTTGGCCTGTTCATGCAGCCTCTCTTCAAGAGCTACAACACTCCAATGGTGGACAACACGGAGTGACACGCATAGACACATGAAAAACAGCTCCTGCTTTCGCCAGTTCTGAAATCTGCAGCCCATGAGCTGGAGCAAAAAGGCTTACTCACTGTTTGAACATGCAGGTCGGAAAGTACAGGGATCAAATCACAAAGCTTCAACACTATCAGTCGAAACTGCACACTGAACTCTTCACATTTGGCAACTAAAAATGAACTGTACTACAGTCCCATACTATGCCCAAGTACAACAACTAATCCTGGCCTTCTTACAACAATCACTTCACCACCCTCAACACTCCATGATGAACAATCAACCACTATAACAAACAGACTGTTAACACCGTACCTCCACCATCCCCATCTGAATAAATATATGCACATGCTGGGTCATATTTATTGGTTTGAAACAAGTGCAGAGTGATGGACAAATAAATTAGTCAACACACCATCTGATGGCTGTCACTGTTACTCAATTAAACTAGATTACATGATTAAAAAAAAGTTATCAATTAATATTTAACTCCTTGAATCTGCTATGACTAGTTGTGAATTTACTTGATGATAATACATACATACATAAATTCTCCTACGGATCTTCTACGGATCTGTCGGTAAAAGAGAGTTTTTTTAAGTATCCTATTTTCTTTACTCCAGTAGCATATTCTGGAATCTAGGTAAGGCTTTGATGGTTTGTTATTATATAGTACTTAAAGGAGAATTCTCAAAATTTCTCAAAATATCTTTATAATTCAGTTGTTGAGATGTAAACAAAGCCATTTAGAGTAGTTTGATGTGAAATAGTTTGTTGTAGAGAAACATACAGACTCAGGTTTCTTTACAGTGGTGGTGATAGGAACCAGGGGTCACCATGTCTACAACACAAATATTGCCATTTTATTTACTATCCAAAATCACCAGCGAACCTACATGATTTTCTTTTTTATATTTTTTCCCAATTTTCTCCCAATTAAGATGTATCAAATTCCACCCACTAGTTAGGACTCCAATCCCCAATCACACAATACCACGAGTGCTAGGAGTTTGAAAGCTAGCACAGGCTTCCTCCGAGACCTGTGAAGCAAGCCACTGCTTGGAGGAAAGCTCCAACTGCCAATTCTGTTATGTCAGCTAACAGACGCCTGCACTGACAAGCATCACAATGGAGTGATGGGGGGAGACAGGGCCATCCTGCCCACCCAGAGAGCGAAGCTGACTGTACTGTCTTGGACTCCTGGCCACGGATGGCTGTAGCATCACCGGCTTCGGACTCTCGATCTCCTAGTGATAGGGCCAATGCTTTACCAATGATGGTAAAGACAATATATTTTCTTTAAGGACTATTTTTCCTAACAACTTCCTGCATGTACCACCATACACCATCCACAGCTTCTCAAAACTGTCTTAGGTTTCAGCAGAGGATTCATAGCCATAACCATATTCATATTCATAACCATCCCATGTAATAACTTTCTCTGAGGGAGCTTTTAGAGGCAATAAACTTTTCAGATGTCTGGTTCTTATCACCACCACTGTGAACAATTCTCATGGAGCATTTCACATCAAACCACTCTGAAAGACTTTGTTAACATCACTTAATTCCCCCTTATCTTGATTTCTTGACTTAATAAACAATTTAAATCCACATTAGGTTTAACTACATTTTGAACAAGAAATCATAATAAGCACTTACCAATTAATTGGCGCTCTGAATCGCACAATCTTTTATACAGTGATAGTAAGCACGTTAGCACGTAGAAAGCTCTGATGCTACATGCTGATACATTTCTCTGTGGTCAGCATGGACATGCATGCATTGTAACTCCTCTGATGGCAGATTTAAAGGGCTGTTGCCAAATTCTCAGAATGGATTGACGAGACGGTCAGTTTGATCATCAAAAAAATGAAAAATAAATTGATTACGCATATCTGATAGAAAGATCTTTTTAAGAAGCATTGAGATATTTTATGATTTTCAATAACAGTTGACTAACTGAGAAGTAGTTTGACACTAAACAATATTAAAATATAATGTGTCACATTCTCTCTATCAGTCTATTATTCCAATGCACTTGGCCCAGGCAGGATCATATGTCAGTCACACAAATGTGATATAGATGCATTATGCATACAGCAAACACAAAACACACACATTCAGACAGTTGCAGCCACTGAAGGGCTGTTATAATAAACCTCTCACACAGTAACGAGTCTCACTCCATTCAGTGACATGCAAACGTACCTCAGGATCTCTAAACCAACTGTATTTGAACTTTCTGATGTTTGATATTTATAACTATATAAATGAGAGGTACAGATACTACACATTCACATGCATGCACTGTACACACCTGCACTTGACTCTCCTATCTGTTCTCTTCCCAGTTTGAGTTAAATCATGCAGTTACCGCTTTGTTTTTGTTATAAAATATGCATTTTTTCCCAGATTAAATGGCAGCATTGATTTATTGGCCGCTTGTAAGGTCAGATGACGATGGAATGTCTCAGAGTTACTGGGAAGACTGAGTATGTAGATGATATCATATGACATTGTAATAGCATTAAGAAAATAAAGTATTAGAACATGCAAATCATGAAAAACATTACATTTATTGATGTGTTCTCAGTACTTTTTACTGCATAAATAATATGAACAATCATAGTATTTTTTTTTTTTGCTTGTGTACTTGTGTGTATACTGATACCCACATTAACCTCTTAAAGCTTTATTATCCCTTTAAATGCTTAGGACCCACCAACACACATTTTTTTAGGAATTGAAGTAAAATTTAAGGCATTTTGCTGATAAATGTAACGGTCTGAGATTGTTATTACAGTTAGTATTTACAACTGATCATTTAGTGCCCTATTTTTAGCATATATATGTACATGTGATGACTTATGGTGGGCAGTTCCATTATATAGTTCCATTATACAGTTAACACTGAACACTCTTCGTCAGGCTAAAGTCCTCGACCTAGAATGTTTACAGTAATTGTTATGTCTGATTTAGATATGTTATGGCTATGTAAAACTATTCAATGATGGGTTTTGATGTGCTTTACAAAATGCTGGGTTTAAAACAACCCAATATTAGTCATAATCATCACCAACAGAACACATGCTGGGTTAAAATGACCCATCACCACTACTTTAAATGAAAAACCCAACAGGCTGGGTCATACAGTTACAAAATAACTGATCAAAATTCTGATCTAGCGCTTGGTTACGTTAACTCTTTTGTTGGGGTACTGTGATCAACAGCCTTGCAATCACCTTGGATCCCATAGCAACCACATAGCAATACCCTAGCAGCCACCTGGAACACCACAGCAGCCATTTCGCAACGTCCTAGCAACTAACTTGAAACTTTCTAGCAACTACTTATGAACACCCTGTCAATTTAACAATATTCTAGCAAGCACCAGAGATAACAAGGCAAAAAGTCAACTACTCTGTAGTCTTCCAAAAAACAAAAACAGAACTGCTCTATAATGACAAACTGTCCAACTAAAATCATATCTTTAATAATATTTCAGCTTCTTCTCAGCTTGCCACAGATATAGTTACATGTTTTTTTCCAGCCTGTAAAGACATACATAAAGAGAAGAGTTCATTTGTTTGGTAAACTTGCTAACTTAGCTATGTAACTAGTTGGTAGGCAACCATTAACAAATATTAAAAAAGTATATAAAAAGTTATTGCAAGCTAAGGTTAGCTAATCCTGTCTCACAGCACAATCAGTAAAATACAGTTATAATAATAATAATACAGTTTCTACTTCAAATCAAACATATCACTTGATGTTGCTGTTTATGTTTATCCTATTCAGATGCCGTAAAGCCAGCTGTTCTAAATTGCTTCCTCACGCACTGTTCTCGTTTGAAATTAACCCATTAGTTACTAGGAACAAAAAATACTAAAAGACACCTGCTTGTCTAGCATTTTTTCTGAAATCAAGGGTATTAATAGAGAGTTTGTTCCTCCTTTTCTGTAGTAACAGCTTCTACTCTCCCGGGGAGACTTTACACTAGATTTTCAAACATTGCTGTGAGGATTTGATTGCATTCAGCCACAAGAGCATTAGTGAGGTCTAGTACTGATGTTGGATGATTAGCTCTGAATCCCTCATCTCATCCTAAAGGTATTGGATGGAGCTCCATCACTCCAGAGAATGCAGTTCCACTGCTCCACAGCCCAATGCTTGGGGGCTTCATATTCCTCTAGCTCAGGGGTCGCAACCCAAATGTTAGGAAAAGCCATTTGATCAACAAAAATCAAACCACCTTGGGAGCCACAACATTTTATGTCCATTTTACCATCTTGGCTGTAAATATGTGTCAGTATGTGCTGATGTATTAGTATAGGATGAAGATATAATATATACAAAAACTCTGCTTTATTTGCTCTGCTTTAAGCTTTAGCTCAGCTATAGCCACGTTTCCTGCATCTCCGGCAGGAAACTTTTCCTCAAAAGTAGAACAGCTTCTTGTAAAATGTCTCTAAACATTCAACTGTTTACAAGGCTGAAGTCAGCTTCTCATTCACCAGCTTCTTGTTTGAATTGTCCCGTTCCACCTTAAATGCTGCCTGAGGTGCCAAAATGTAACTGCTGCACCATTTAAGGTGGAACGGGACAATTTAAATAAGAAACTGGTGAATGACAGGCTGACTTCAGCTTTGCGATTTTTTAGTGTTTGACAGTTTCTCATTGCAGATTAAATGTATCAGGAAACCAGCTGGAGTCCTCTTAAATGCAAATAAGTCCATTCATCTCCAAATTATCAAAGTTCATTTTAAATGTCTCTTTTCGTTAGCTACTAGCTAGGTGAGACGGTTGTCTGTGTTGCTATTGTGACCAACAGTCTGTGCGCCAATCTTCAGGGTTAAAGGGTGAATTAGCAGTTCTACTCCAGCATTTACGACCATTTATTGTTAAAACTGTGTTGAATGATCACCAGGGCTTTATTTTACTGTAAAGGATGATTATTTTATTTACCTAAAAATTTAATTCTACTGTGGAGC